TACTAGAGACCATTTTGAACACTTTGATGGCTGAGGCACATTATCCAGCCCTTCCTCCCCTTGAGGTAAAAATATAGTAATATATTAAATAAATGACATCTTGTTTCTTTTAACAGTAAAAAATTTATACTGCCTAAAGGAGGTTGTCTTATTGTGCCTAAATGTGGGAATGGTGCTGCTCACCATTCTGTTTTTGTTCACATCACTCATCTAGAATTAGTTGAGCTTAGGAGAAATGGCTGAGCTATGTTTTTCACACAGGCTAGAGTCCAGTGGCACCTTTAAGACCAACAAAGGTTGATCGGATGGAATACCGATAGAGTTCTATCAGGTGTTTGAGAACCAAATAATATTGCCATTGAAGATGACGATACAGAACATCACTGAAAAGAAAAAAATCCCCGACTCATGGAAAGAGGCCTTAATTACTCTAATCCCTAAACAGGAAACAAATTCAACAGAAATAAGAAATTACAGACCCATCTCCCTGCTTAACGCAGATTATAAAATTTACGTCCCAATATTAGTGAATAGATTAAAGAAAGTGTTACGACAAATGATACATCAAGACCGAGCAGGGTTTTTACCCCAAAGACAATTGAGGAACAATGTTAGAATTATTTTAAATACCCTTGAATTCTATGAAGCCCATCCTGAAAAGCAGATGGCCCTTCTGTTTTTAGACGCGGAGAAAGCATTTGATAACGTGAGCTGGGAGTTTATATTAAGACAATTAGACCATTGGGGATGTGGGGAAACATTCTATTTGATGGTTAAAACAAAATGCTAAAGTAGTATTTAATGGTGATTCAACACAAAGCTTTCCAATACAGAAAGGAACGAAGCAAGGCTGTCCACTCTCCCCACTATTATTTATCTTTGCAGTAGAAACCCTCAATAACATTGTGAGGGAAGAGTGTTTAATTAAGGGCCTAAACATAAAAGGTGAACAATTTAAGCCACAGGCATATGCTGACGATCTCGTTTTTATTCTAGAGGAACAATTAAGCTCAATAGACCAGCTTCTTTATATCCTACAACAATATGGCTATGTAGCAGGCCTTAAAATAAATTTCAAAAAATCCAAAATACTTAACTAAAAATTGTACAAAGTGAATTGAAAAACAACTACAAGAAAGGTCAGGATTTGAGGTGTTTAAAAGAGTTAAATATTTAGCGGTTACACTGACAAACAAATGTAGTTCGTTATATGACGATAATTATAAGAAAACTTATAAGAACTTATAAGAAAGATGTAGATATTTGGAAAAGGGTTGCAGCTATCGCTGTTGAGTAGAATTGCAACAATTAAAATTAGTATTCTTACGTGGCTTATTTTCGTCTTCCAAACTCTCCCAATCCTTAAAAACCAGAAATTTTTAGAGAACTTGAGAAAATTGTTACATGTTTTATATGGCAATCTAAAAAGCCTAGAATTAAGCTTAAGGAAATAAAAAGGAGGGTTTGGACTGTCAGATTGGTACTTATATTACAAAACCATAGCGATGGTATGGATAAAAGAATGGGTGATCTTAACTAATGTAAGACTTCTGAAATTGCATGCGGTGGCATGCCTTAATTGGATATAGTAAGGAAAGGAAATATTTTGAACAATACTTTATACGAGGTCCGCTTTTAAAAATTTGGAATGAAGTCAAACATTATCACTACCTTAAAATCCCAAGATGGGTATCACCTGTAGAGGCTTTTGTAAAACCCACATTATATACTAACGATCTGGCAAGAGGACACTGACACAGAAACACTGTAAAAGTGAAGAAAAATCGTCCTGGGAGCCTTAAAATCTTTTTTATTAAATATTTCCGTATAGTCCTGAATATTTCCACATTTTTGGGGGATCCAGTTACAGGAATCCCAAAAAATCCCAAATACCTTCGGGACACCTGAATATATCTGAAAAGTACCATCAGTATTTTTCATCTGTATATTCAGACCGGAAATAGACAAATGCACATCCGTAGTGGCATCCGTTCCCTGAAAAATAAATCAAATTTTTATGAGCCAAACAAGTCAAATAAATTATAATTATATTAAATAAATTATAATTATATCTGCAAATCTCCACATGAAGTAGAATCAGTAATATTCAGTATTATTTTGACATTATACCATATGTATTTTGAATTTGAGTAATAATAATAATTAATATGGTCTGCCATTTGTATACAGGGAATATCTTCCAGTGTATACAGGGAATATCTTCCAGGGTTTGATTAAAGCTTTCATCAAAGCATTAATTTGATGAAAATAATGTGTGAAATGGCGTGCCTTTTCAACAAAATTCAGAGAAGCAATTTTGATTTTTAGTTCAAATGATTGCAAAGCCAATTCTTCAAATTCATATTCTTATAAGTAATTTGTCAGCATTTGTCTACTAGCCACAAATTTATAAAATACAGAAAGATTTCATTGTGTAGATTTGATGCTAATACCAATTATAATATTACTGTTTACTCAGATCATTTTTTTCAAAAACCTTCCGATCTGTGATCAGCAGGTTCAAATAGACCTGTAGGTGTGGCATGAGGAAATATTGGGATTGTAGCAGATGGATGTGTTTAGCGTGTATCTGATTTTTAAAAAACCAACTACTATAAACATGGAATTATTTCATTTCAACAACTGCACTTTCAAGAGCACAACTAAGTCAGATTTTTTTTTTGTAAAGGATAATTTTTATATCTCAATCCCAAGAAATTCAAATATATAATTTTCTAAGAGAACAAAGAAGCTTCTTTGTGTGTAATGCAGCTTTAAAATGCACACTTCATTATATTTCTTTTTCAAAAGTATATATTTATATTTTTGGGGTTTTATATAAATATTGATACTATAATTAAAATGCTGCCAGGGATCAATAACTGCCCGGCAAAAAAAAAACAAAAAAAACCCTGATTTGAGTTCCTGGAATAATAGTGGGAAAATATGATAAGTAGTTGTCAATATTAAAGCAGGCTGAAGGAAGAAGGCTTCAGGCCTTGTGGTAGGTAGAATGAAACAGCAGATTTGAGTATCTACAATCCTTTCCAGTATTACATTTTCAGTAAAATAAAATTACTTGTATATGAAAACATAGCCTTTCCCAGCTCTCTTTTTTTTCCTGATCAGCTGATGAAGAGACTAGCAGCTCGCTGCTTTGCTGGCTTGTTAATTTTATCCCCACTAACTGTGATTTCCGATAGCCGGCCTGCTGATAGTGGTAAGGTAAATATCCTTTTTCATTGCCGTCTTGAAGATTCAGTAGAGCTACATCACAGGCATGTGTAGGTGTGTTACACATCAAAAGCAGGGGTGTGCTCTGTGTTTTCTGTGTACAAATGAGTGCTTAAGGAGAGCAATAACATTAACTGTTGACAGCCTTGCATGCTGTATTTATTATTAGCATTTCTAGCATCCAAGATTTGCAGATCAGTTTCCTTTTCTTAATCTTCGCTAGCTGCTGTGGTGTATCGTGGGTGTCCTCCTTTAGCCAAATGAATATTAATGAATTTGTGTGCAGATATTTTTTGTTGTTGTTGCTTTCCTTTCTTCCTCCTTAACTCATCAGAGATCTCCAGCTCCTTCATAGTGGTTATCTGAATGCTGTGGAAAGCATGATGGAAATTGTCTTTTGATTATTAAGGCCTGGGTTTCAGGCTCTCCCCTCAGGATTGCATGTTCATGTTTGTTCTGTGGATTTGCACATCGGAGGATGAATAGGAAACAGATTCAGAAATCTCCCTGGCGTTTTTAACATTCCAGCCTGTTTCGTGTGGTGCAGCAGGTTTTATGCACAAAAACGTTTTGCGAGAGACATACCCAAGTAAAAGAAATTATGTCTGGGATGTAATCACTCTTTGTATATTGATTGTTACACTCACATGATCATAAATATTAGCCATGTTTGGTGCTGTGGAAAAATGAAGGTAATTGCCTTATGATTAGAGCTCTTTCAGCTCTGAGAAAGGATTGATTAGCATTTGCATGTATTCTAGGCAGTACAGAGAAGCAAAAGGGACAATATCAACATTTATGTTTTGAGAAAGCATTCATCATAAGTGCTGATGTGATTTATTTTAAAGATCAGAGTATTTTATCTCATATCTTTTCAGTGTTAAATTTTATGAAAGACTGAACTGTCTTGTATATCTGGTTGTTTTCTTCTGTTTTAAAAACCAAAGAAAGTTCAGCTTCTCTGACTGTCACATGGATTTCTTAGATAGAGTGTGAACAGATTTCCTTTAAACCAGGTTTGTTTTTGTAGCAGATTTCACTCTCAGTGCATAGTGCTGTTGGCTGTGGTTAAAAGCATACATTTGCAGGTAAATTTTAAATGATATTTGTTGCCTGATTGTGTTTGAATTGTTCTGTTTTTCCCATCCCATAATACCAATATTCTTTACTGCATAACAATGTATTGTCCACCTTTTCTGCATTTTCAGTAATTGTTGTTATAAATGGTGAAAATTATGTGTTGTCTTGGAAAAGATGGTTTGTAATTTTGGAAATTCTATTGGAAAACTCTTATGCAAAATATCTGGCCTGTTAACTCTTTTGAGGTTATATTTGTGGGGAAATGGTGTGTGTGTATGTGTCTGTACACACACTGGAGGGTTCATGGCTTTTGAAGGGGGCATTTGCCTCATAATGATTGCCTTGTCTGTGGACATGCATTAAAATTGATATATAAATGTAGCTGTTAAAATACCATATTGACTGTGTTTTGGGTGTGGATGTTCATTGCTTCAGCATTTAAGGCCTTTTGGGGTGTGGCCTTTCCGCTTTATCAGCTACAATTAAATTTCTAAGGACAATACCTACTATGGCACTTTAAATTTAGTCCTACTGATTGTCCCTGATTTAAGATTTGTTTTGGTCAACTTGCACTTATAAATTAAGTTCTTGCTGCAAGGTTATTTGTACCTTGTGGAGTTACTAATTTATACCTTTTGTTGGTGTCTTTTGATTTTTCAAATATTTTCTGCTTCCATGATTATTAGGCAATTGAAGACGGCAATTTGGAAGAAATGGAAGAGGAAGTGCGGCTTAAAAAGCGAAAAAGGAGAAGAAATGTGGACAAAGATTCAGGCAAAGAAGATGGAGAGAAGGCAAAAAAGAGGCGAGGAAGACCTCCAGCAGAGAAATTGTCTCCCAATCCTCCTAAGCTGACAAAACAGATGAATGCCATTATTGATACTGTGATCAATTATAAAGACAGGTGAGCTTACATTTACCTTGATCAGCTTGCTCTCTCTCTCTCTTGCTCTCTCGCTTAAAGACTATATATTAATCTTCTAAAAATCGTTTGGAGAACTGGACGTACCTTATATGTGATCCTACAAATTTCTTGCATATATAACTCTTACATTCATTAGCATCCACTGACAATTTTATCTTTCAAGACTTAAAGTGAAAGAATGCAAGCATATAAACAAACACAGATAAATGTGGTTGTTTTGGGGTTCTCTTAATTCCACCTTCCACTTGTTGATATTTGTGAATGCAAAACAGCTGTGCATTCAATGATCATAGTTACCCTCTGAGCCATGTAAATAATATATATGCTTATGAACACATTTGCAGAGGGTTGCTTATAAGTATGACACTCCTTTTTTTTTTTTCAGAAGGCATGGTAAAAGCTGTGGCATCCTACTGGCTCCTGCACCAAATATTATAGCAAGTGAGGTCATGTTAAGTGGTGATAAAATGATAGTTGGATGCTAGAAGTACTGCTTCATATTCACAGCATCTATGGATACTTCATTATTTTGAATATGCAGTTGGTGAAAGTTAAGGCTGTTCAACCACCTGCTGATTTGGCTTTGTGTCCTACTTGTTGCTTGCAAAGAGAGACCTGATTTTTTAACAATTGATTATTTAGTTCATTGATCTGTTTGTGGGTGTTCGACAGGTTATTTCACTGTGTTCTTTACTAAGCATGCAGTATTGTGCAATTGGGTTTTTGCACATGCATATTCTCACACAGCGCCATTGAGTTCTACCACCACCACCCATCCTTGCTTCATAATTGTTCTGTTCAAAACAGCAGGCAATTGGTGAAATAGAGAATTAGATCACTCACAAATTGTATAAATCAGTCATCAATAAATGCTGTGTTTCAATAAAATCCTGGCCTTTGTTGCTCATCTAAGTAGTCCTCAGTGACTCTAGTGGTTGCCAGTCAGTTTGAATCGGCAGCATATTTGTGCATGTGTAGTTTTGGGAAAGGCCAGTGCAAAGTAGCTGAGTCGGGGCTCACAGTTGCTCATAATCAGCAGGTGCTCACAGCTGCTCATCATGAACTGAACAGTCTGAGTGATCAGCTCATGTGTGATTGCCACCTTTGAATAAGGTAAGTTCAATAGTCAAATGTGCTTATGGCAAAATTTGTATCATCCCTAGGTACAATCATTAGGATTGCAATCTTGAGAGGTTTTAAACTTTTTTAAAAAAAAGACACATTGACAGGATGCAAGACTGCTGCGATTTCCTAATTACTTTTATTTCATTTAGTTGATTTCAGAAAACAAAATCTAGGCTTTATGTGGAAATCCGAAGGAAAGTTGCACCCTTCTAAGTTCACTGATGTCAATGGAACCAGAAGGGTGTAACTGCTAGTTTTGTAGTCACCTCTCAGGCAAAGGTACATCATAACTTTGTTAAAATGATGGGATATTTTGGCTAACATAGCTCACTTGAAAGTCATTCTTCCATAGTTCTAAGAGCAGTTTGGTAGTCATGTTCCATAGCATTTAGTAAAAGGAGCAGTTTCAAATATTCTTCAAATATGAATTTATTATTTTGGTGACACAAATGTGTTACCTTGTCTAGCCTTATTCCCCGTACTTTTTTTTGTTTACCCAGTGCAGAGAACAGTAATGGTATGCTTATGGTACATGAAGTTATCTCCCTTTAAACCAATGCACATTCACATTTTATTTCTGTGGGATGGATCCTAGGCCAGTATGAGTTGAAAGACCCCATGGAAGAAGACCTGTCCCTCCCCTTCCTTTAGCAGATGCCCCCCAGATTTTCTGCTGAGGGTGATGGGACCCTCATAAAATGTATGGTAGCAAAAGGAGCTACACTGTGGTGTAGCTGGGGATGATCTTGTCTGATTCCCTCCTCTTACTGTAGACCACTATGAAGACAGATCCAATTAGTCAGCCGTGTTGGTCTGAAGCAGTACAACAAATTTAGAGTCCAATGGCACCTTTAAGACCAACAAAGGTTTATTCAAGGTATAAGCTTTTATGGGCACACACACTTTATCAATTATGTTAGAATGGCAAAGGCTCTCTGTCCTCAAGAAAAGGTTTGCCCCCAGTACTTGCGAAAGAGAACTGTCACTATCCAGTGGAGGTTGTAAGTCATTGATGATGCGTTGAAATGTTTTGAGCTGGGAGCTGTATGTGACCACTAGTGGTGTTCTATTATTGTCTCTTTTGGGCCTGTCTTCTAATAGGTTTTCTCTGGGTATCATTCTGGCTTTGTTAATCTGTTTCCTGACTTCATCAGGTGAATACTTTAGTTCCAAAAAGGTGTGTTGTAGATCCCTCAGGTGTGAATCTCTGTCTGTAGGATTGGATCAGATGCAGCTGTAGCATAGACCCTGGCTGTAAGCAATGGATTGTTTGGTATGTTTAGGATGGTAGCTGGAGGCATATGTTTAGCATGGTAGCTGGAGGCATGTAGGTATGTTTGTCGATCAGTAGGTTTCCAGTATAAGGTGGTATCTGTGTGTTCATTGTGTACTTTTTTCAGTAGTGTCCAGAAAATTTCTTTCTTTCATGGATTGGTTAATTGTCAGGTTGATGTTGGGGTGAAAATTGTTGAAAGCCTGGTGGAATGTGTCCAGGGTTTCTTTACCATGTGTCCAGACAATAAAAATGTCATCAATGTAACGGAAATATTACAGAGGTATGAGTGGGTGGGAGTTTAGGAAGCCCACTATGTCACACTGCATTGTTTATATAGGTCCACTAACCTTCAGCAGCCAATTTTTGAGGTGCACAGAGAGCTGTTGGTGGAAGGAGAAGTTGGGGAAGGATCAACTTCTGCAAGCTCTTTCTGCTTGTGTTAACTGTAGGATCCCACCATATGTAATCAGGAAGAGACACATTTTGGTCTAGGAATAAAAGACATGTGTTCACATGACAAGAATCCCAACTTCTCCTACATAGGTTTTGTACACAATTTTGTAACATTTGTAACATATGATGCCCTGTGAATCCTTTAGACTGTTAGATTTCCTGAAGGTGTGCTAGCTTTTCATTATACATACGATCTGTTTTCCTTTTACCATTACATCATCCAGTTTTGTCTAGAGAAAATAGGTGATTCCAAAGTTGGGAATATTAACAGTTCAGTATTCAAAATCCTTTCTAGGAAATGTTAAGCAGTCTACAATACTTGTATGTATTTGCATACAATCTAAAAGTGTAAGAATATAAAACTTGGATCATACATTCTTACAAATTTAGACTCTATGAAGATGCAAAATAATTTTATTTATTTATTTACTTTATGTTCTGCCTTCCTTGTCCTAACAGTTCAGTATTCAAAATCCTTTCTAGGAAATGTTAAGCAGTCTACAATACTTGTATGTATTTGCATACACTCTAAAAGTGTAAGGATATAAAACTTGGATCATACATTCTTACAAATTTAGACTCTGTGAAGATGCAAAATAATTTTATTTATTTATTTACTTTATGTTCTGCCTTCCTTGTCCAAACTCAAAGTGGATTAAAAATTTTTAAAACGCAATAGGAACAGTATAACACATATAATAAACAATTCTATAATAAATATAATATAATAAATAATAAATATAATATAATAAACAATGCTGGATCCCTTCTAGTCCAGCTTCTGACCTGGTCACGGGACAGAGACAGCCCTGGTCGCCCTCACGGATGACCTCCAGAGGCATCTGGATCGGGGCGGGATGGCGGTGCTGCTGTTGTTTGATCTGTTGGCGGTGTTCGACATGGTCGATCATCAGCTGCTCGCCCGCCGCCTCCCCAACATGGGGATTTGGGAGCTGGCCCTGCAATGGCTTGTCTCCTTTCTCCAGGGTTGGGGACAAAGGATGACACTTGGGGAGACGCTGTCCCGAAGGCATCCACTAGACTGTGGAGTGCCGCAAGAGGCAGTGCTCTCCCCAATGCTATTTAACATCTACATGCGCCCCCTTGCCCAGATTGCCTGGATGCATGGGCTTGGGTGTCACCAATATGCAGATGACACCCAGCTCTATCTGTTGTTGGGTGGTCAGTCTGGCTCTACCCTGGATGACCTGGACCGGGCGTTGTAGGATGTGGCGGGATGGCTTAGGCTGAGCCGACTGAAATTGAATCCGACAAAGACGGAGGTCCTGTGCCTGAATCGGAGTGGCTCGGGGTTAGGGGCCCCACTTCTGGCCTTCGGTGGGGCACCATTGGTGCCAGCGCCAAGGGTCAGGAGTTTGGGAGTGCTCCTGGATGCTTCCCTGACAATGGAGGCCCAGGTAGCAGCCACTGCCAAGACAGCCTTTTACCATCTTTGGCTGATAAGGCAGTTGGTCCCCTTCCTCAAACGCAATGATCT